GGAGGGCGCGACAAAAAATTTTCCGATGAAGGTGCGTGGCGTCAGCCACGCGCCCCGAAAATTTTTTGGCATGCTTCCTAAAATTTTCGCGGGCTCAAAACCCTGAAATTCCAGAAAAAGGAAGCGTGGCTGACGTCACGCTCGCGGGAAAAAAATTTTTTTATGAGGCTAAAATGAATTTTTTAAAAATTTTGAAAATTATTTTAATTATTTACGTGCATACAAGTCATTTGCACAATTTTACATGGTAAAGGAATGAGCCGAATAAGAAGGATTCTTGCAACTCTGCTCCCTCCAAAATAATGAATTCTTGATGTATTGATCTATTTGCGGTAAGGACTCTTCCGTGCGAAATTTGCTTTGAAACTTGAGTATCAGAAGAAAATATGGGTTCTATGTTATAGGCCATCTGGCGAACTGTAGTCGCACTTACAAACACTACTTACAAACACTTTAACTGCAAGTGTTTTTGATTCCATGGGTCCACTCGCGTTTAAATCCAAAATGCATGCACACGACATGAATTAGCATCTTGCTTTTTTGCTAATGCTTATTACAAGCGCCTTTGCAGTATACACTGACATTGTACCATGTGTTTTTGACCCATGTTTGAAGGCACCGTTCAACCATATTCTCGACTTATATGTTTTGGTCATTCCGGGACGTTCCCATGTCCCTGATCCGAATAAGAAGTAGAAAACCTTAGCGATCCCGTTCTGGAGAACTCGAAGGCCTATTCTTCGGGACGGTGATTGGATGGGTGCGCACGGACGGGGGGGGGCATTGCTGGAAGGGGCGTTGCTAATTTGGGGTGCTCATGACTCTCCGCTATTCCGAAGCGATTTTCTCGCTTTCGAAGCGACATTTTGAGCCGCGACATGGGCATTTGCTTGGTAGGGGGTCCAACCATCGTAAGCCCAAACTCCAAAGCCCAAAAGCTTAGGACGGTGAACGGTGGGAGAACTAGGCTGGACGGTGCCTCTAATGATGGTCAATGAGAATTCTGTTACTACTTGATAAGTTTATGTCGCTTTATTCCATTTGCAATGAAACAAAACAAAACAATATTTCAGCATTAATTTGGCAAAACTACTTGGATTGCGACTCGCTACAAAATACCTGTTAGAATCGAAAACTATGGCCAGTCTATGGATCATGAATCTGCTTCTTACCCTTTTGCTTCTCGACATCTTCGCAATCGCATTATTCAAAAAGTTTCCGGCGAAGACTTTTTGCAAACAGCGTACTTGAGAAAATGCATCCTGCTATAAGAACTGTCTACAAGGTATGTACTGCATGAGAGCTGCTTCGTGCATTGGAGAGTATCCCCTTTTTTAAAACTATAAATAAAACTAAATAAAGAAAACTTGCAAGCAAGTTACAAAAAGACAGAAAGTTTTGTGGGGCACTCGAAAAACTTGACAAGTAAGCCAAGAAATGCGAAGAAGCTAAATTGTCTTGCTTTCGCTGATTCGTCGATTTCTCTAGCAACGCAGTAAGAATATGAAAAAACCCACATGAAATGAAGCCACAAATGCATAAACGTTACTGTATCTTATTTTAGGTTGAAGTGTAAACCATGATGTGAGATATAACGTGCGATTTCAGCGTAAACTTCTGAGAAGGTGTTAGAATTTAGGACAAATTAGAGCACAGAATTGCTGCTTTTTAGAGAAGATCATTGTGAGGGTTTCGTTGCGTTAGGACAAGAGGCCGGGTGAAGAAAGAGATAGGAGGGATGAATGGAAGGGAGCCAAAAGTGACGGCGAATATAAAATTCTGCAGGCAACTAGTTTTGGTTTTCAAAGGCAGCATCCCTCCATTGAGGGTAATAAGATTTCTGTTTATAATGGGGCCCCCAACTATAGTCCCCGACTTCAAATAGTCCCCGAGTTCCGCTGCAAAAAGGTGAAGTCCGAAGCGAAATCCGCTGCAGAAGATAGAGCTTCCAATGTTAAGGTGGCTTCGTCTATCAACGTGGGTGATCTAACAAGGGAGATTCTAATTCGTAACCCAGGTAAAGTTTGGAGCCAAAGATCTCCTTCTAAAGTTTCCTAAGGACTTCCAACTTGGTCTTTATTTATATAGTGGACACATAGTAGTACCCAAAAATTTATTTGTTGGATTTCTTCGGGGCTCAAAATTGAGAAAAAATGATCTGTGTGCCAAAATGCCACTTTTTTCGGGTTTTTCATGTAAATCTAAGCATTTCTTGATTGTAAGAGCACATGCAAGGGTAAGCCTTCATGATTTTACTTGAATAAGTGAGGAGCACAATGACATATGTGAGAGGGGCACGGGGCGGAGTTGGACTATCTTTACTTTCTCGTCTCATGAGCGGAGAAAATCCAGTAAAGGCATATCATATAATGATCAAGTTGGAAGCCCGTAGCATTTTTTCTGGCAAGAAAAATTCTCAGATGACAAAATTTTTTTCGATTTTAGCTTCAAACTTTATATGAAAAGCGACTTGAGCGGATCTTTAGAGGTCATTTTGTAGAGGTTCATCTGCTCTATCGAACAATACCCTAATCCTACTATTAAAACGAAAACAGCCTGAATTATCCAAACAGGATACTTTTGGGACGACCTAATTGAAGGAAATGGATATTCTGATCTCACCGACCAATGTTTAAAGGTTTGAATAGATAGGATATGCGTCATGTTAATTTACGTGTATGTATAGCATAGTGGCGTATCTAGGATTTTCTCTCGGGGGTGCGCGACAACTAATTTTTTCGGATGAAGGTGCGTGGCGTCAGCCACGCACTCCGAACTTTTTTTGGAATGCTTTCCAAAAATTTTGCGGCCCCTGACCCCAAAATTTTAGAGAAAGGGGGCGTGGCGGCACCCACTCCCCCAAAAATTTTTTTTCACAGGGCTAAATTGAATTTTTAAAAATTTTTAAAAATTATTGTAATTATTTACAAGTAAAAACAAGTCGTTCGCACTTTCTTATAACACATTTAAGTTAATATCGTACACCATGAATCAAGTGCTATTGTGGTCACAGCCTTATCAACGCATTTCCGTCAAAAGCGAAGGCACCATAAAACGAGAATATTTTGACACAACTTCATTAGATCACTTCTATTCCTCTCGTTCAAAGGCTATTATTTTTTTTTTCAAATACACCAAATAAACTTTTTCACAAACTGATTTTCTAAGATAAAAAGGCCTGCGAATTTCGAGCTTGTAACAGTGACGATCTGAGAAATTCTTTTCGAAATGGGCGGACATTCTCGACAGAACGTTTTCGAATGAAAGGGCATGATTTGAATACACTTTTAGTAATGCTTTCATATAGACGATTGAGATTCTCAAAGGGCCAGAATAGTAAAAAAAACGCTCTCCTTATATCATATATCCTTCGTTAAATTACATGCAGCGCTCGATTTTCGTTTGCTGTAATGATTGAACGAAGAATTTGTAATATAAAGAAAGCGTTTTTTCAAACTTTCATCATTTGGAACTCCTTGATTTTCTCCTAACCGAACTGCAAAAATTAACTACGCTATACTATCACGTATTCTTCCTTTCTCCTTGATTCCAAGACGTTGTCCAGATGAAATTTTGATAAAAAATGTTTGCACCGAATATCTAGTGGACCATCAAATCCTACTTTTTGCCTCCTCTTATGTTGAGATCGTAGTCGAGCTGCAGTGGTGTTTCGAAAGCTTAAAACGCTAAAACCCAGTGTTTTAATTATTTTAATCGTAACGGAACTCCATGTGAAAAAGGTTCAATTTTGCTACACCTTGTTTCTTGCAACTATTGTGATTATTGATTGTGAAAAGGGCGGCTACTCGATATTATTAGTGACAAACATGTTTTTGTGTTGAATCGCTCAGGTAGTGGTAGAAAGAGCTGCTGAGTCTAATTTTGGTACCTTCACGTTATCCGAACCCGTTTTTTTCAAAAAGGACATAGTTTCTTTCCTTGTACCAAATTTAGTGAAAACTTCACTGATGAGTCAACCTCTGCCATGTGTCAAAAAATTGACATGCCTCTACATGTTCAACAGATTTTAACATGATTTTGTTTGACTTACCTATCAGTGCAAGTTCAGTCTGTTTTTTATTTCGTAATGACCTCATTTTCAGCCGACGGTTTTATGAATGAGCTTTGATATTAAGGAAATGACGTCCTGTGTTTAATAAACACATTAGTTTCTCCAAAACAGAAAAGTGAGCTATTGTTCTAACATCCAAACGAATCAATTGGCACCAAGTACTTTAAGTTCGTTTACATTCTTTCCCGACTAAATTTGCTTGGCGGAAACAACATGAAGAGCAGAATTTCTTTAGTGCATTGCTGGCTGACAAGATATTTGAAAAACGTTCAAGATGTTTTGTTTCCATAAAAGATCCCCGAGCAGCTTTCGAATCAGTTCAGAGGCTCTCGTAATCAATCGAAATGATTTTCAAAAAAACGTGTCAAACTGGCCACAAACGTGTAAATTTTTATTTTGCACATGGCGAGAAGACATCACAAGATCTATGAAAAAAATCTCTAGACTGAAATACTAGACTACACTAGGTTGCTTCATGAGAACATTTTGAAAAATGGTTCCGGGTAACGGAAAAGTACCCTAATTTTTTCTAGGATTTTGATAGGTAGATGTAATGATTCGACTATAGGCGAGGCGTTGTTGCGTCCTGGAACATCCTTTATACCCTAGAAATTTTTCCATTAAAGCTACCCTAAAGTTCATTGCTTAACGATTGCGCCGCGAATAGAGAGAGTGTTGTTCCTAGTCAGGAAGAAGCAATTTGTACTCATCTGGGATTGTTTTCTGCGTGGTCCACGATACCGGTTTATACCACATCACTTAGGTTATCAACAATTAAGCATATCCGAAATGCATTAATGAAAGATAAATATGTTTAGCAGAAGTGATGAGCTACATTGGTTTGTTTCCTCTGTCTTTGACTGATCTTACGAATTTGAAAAGCTCTTCGGGAATCAACCTTTTTTGTAGCTTCTTTCAGCAACATACGAATGAGTTCTAGCTATTCTGGTTCATTGTAGAGAAATAAGCTCGCAATGCTCTTGATGAAATTATTCATGGTCCTGCTCGCAGCTTATCTGTGCAGTGCTTATTCATCATTCTATTCATCATTTATAGATCCGGTGAGCACATTTGAACTCCGTCCAGACGAATTTTTCAAAATATAATTAGTTTCAGTGTATAGCACGGTGTAAAAGCGAAGTTGAGATATATAACAGAGAGCACCCACAGTCGCCAAGGAATCCCAATTGCGCACAGTGGTGCAAAGATATCACGGAGGGCAAGCAGTATAAATATGTCGACCCTTCAATTATGCAGATTTTGCAATGAAAATATACACACTAGTAATGAGGTTTGATCGAGCATTTTTAGGCTAGTAATGATGCTGTTTTACTTTGAAAGATTAGTTTATTTGTGCCATGAGCTGCTTCGATCATCTATTTGCATTTGCAAAATTTGTTCCTTCACGAAATAAGAAAATGTATTTGCAAATACTTGAATCGTATAGTTCTTAATTGTTCGCTGGATCGCTCTACAAGCACATACTTTGAACAATCACGAATGGTGATTTCAAAGGACAGAATGACATGAGATCCTATACCACCATTCTTTATGCAATATTTGAGAGATTTCAAGACAAAAGATATTCACGCCTTTTCCACTTGAATATGAAACATGATGCTGCAATCATGCATGTGTTTCTATAAATTGTGACAGTTGGCTACTGTGATGGTTCAATACCGTCTCGTTTCGTCTAGAATGACAAATTCTGTAGCTATGCAGAACTTGCGCGCACCAAAGTATGGCCAGATAACTGTATGTCAAAGCGCGTAATTTGCTCTGTACCGAATGAAGTCAAAGATTTCCCAAGCTAAGGTTGTAAAGCACAATCTGCACATTAGTTGCACTTGCAAATTTTGTTCCTTCACGGAATTCTGCAAAATATACCTGCGTACAGTCGAGTAGATTTTCTGCATGTAGTGTCCCTGCAGACGCGACAACGCTTGTGCGTCAACAGTGCCATTGTAATTTCGGTGAGTGTTTTACAGCGTTTTCTTTGATTCTTTTTTGCTTTCTAGGGCTAGTCATTGCTGCTTATTCCCAGCATCTACGTGGAAGTTACGTCGCATCGTTTCATTTGTATTTTTGTCACTTTATGCCTCTTTCTTCTTGTGAAGCATTTTTTGAACGCTAGTAGGCTACTACAATTGCCTTATCATCTATATCGCATGAACCGCTCGATCGAATGCTATCTCCTTGAGTGAAAGTCGAAGTTGCTGCAGAGCGTATGGCGTTCAAAGAAATAATTCAAAGAAATAATTCATAAGAAAAGAGATGAAGCAACAAAAAATACACATAGAACTGACACGATGTGGCTTCCAGGTCGATACCTGGAAATAAGCGATGGTATAGGTACTAGGAAAACGAAAAACTACTCTCTGACAACCCCTTTTCTCCTTTATCAGCGTCTAGTTACCTGAAAAGCAAAGAGCAGAGAAAACACGAGCAAACTGCTTGGAAACTGCAATGGCAATTGGTGGCGTACAAGCGTTGTCCCGTCTGCAGGGGCACTACATAAAGGGTAGGGTCCAAGCAAATCTGGACCCATGGGGTTTTCGTTTGAAAACTGATGAGGGGTCCTAACTAACGGCCTGCCCAAGCGGCAGCACAAATGAGTCATTTAGGCTAACAAATGAGGTCGAAGTGGCTTTTTCACATGAAACTGATACAATTTTGAAGGCAGCGCCCCCTCAAAATGATGGGTACCGGGATTTTACAGTGTTGCGATGGTATATCCTCCAGCCAATTAGTGAAGTCTGAAAAAGCGCTTCTGAAAGTCCAAAATCCGCCAAGGAAGTCTTACGGGGGCCGCCCATTTCCAAGCTCCGCCCGCTTCTTACACGTAATTTGGAGCAAACGCGGACACGGAAAGCTTTGGAAAAAGCTTATTTTCGCTATTTTCAAGCGATTATATGTCAGCATGGCGAGAAGGTTCCGGAGAGGTGAAAAACCGGAGAGCAAATTTTGCCGGGACGCTACCATTAAGGGCATCAAACGATGATTTCAAATCTGTTTTCGTTATCTGCCGAGCGCCTCTGGCCGTCGAGAGAATGAGCAGAGAAATCTATATATAGAGATCTGTATATAGATTTCGAAGTTGAAAAAGAATGCATAATTAGAACAAAATCCGTCAAAATTGCTAAAATGATCCAGTGTTAATTACCAGAGCACCCCATTTGAACAATACTTTCTGTCCAAAACTCTCATACTTGACGCTGCTTTATTTGAGCGCTGAAAAGACGGTGATATTTGATCACCTAAATTATGAGTTCATTATTCGAATGGAAATACTCATAACTCGGAATGTAGAGGCGCTCGGCAGATAATGAAATTGGTTTTGGAATCACTGTTTGATGCTCTTCAAGGTAGTTTAAGACTCATTTGGAAAGGCTACTTAGACTATTCGGGCTTCCCTTGTAAGTATCTAAGTAAGATTGTGAGCGGTATTGTACTGTTGATGGTTTTCTGAAATCCGAAAATTTTTTCCTAAGGTAATTCCATCCCTCAAAGTATACGCAATTTATCTACATAAAATACAGAATTCTATCAAGTACGTTGTTTCGACACCTTTCCTCAAGCTGACGCAACGTTGGATTTTTGCCAAAATGTAAACATAATGCTATATAGTAACTCAGCTTTCGTAGGGTGCAAGAAACATGTCAGCGCTGCATTCCAACATCCAACTTTCACAACTAGGTTGAGTGAAAATAACGATCACTTTAGCTTCGCTTCATGTTCCGTACGAAAAGTTAATAGCGCCTTTCTTGATGCTTCAGTGTAAATATTTCACAATCAAAGCTCGATCATTTCGTTCATGGGTTAGCGCGCGAGAAATGCGGTTGAGGTTATCTGTAAGTGAACGAAGAACAGACTGGTTTCTAGAAAACCCACAAGTGTATCACAACACCAGCGAAAGCGATAGCGCTGTTCACTGGAAAATCATCAAAGATAATCACTGAGTTGCTAGCACAGATCAATTATGCATGCAGACACTTTCTTGTTCGCCTTCAGGGAATAAAAAGAGCCAGCTACCATTGCCTCCATGCTATGCAAGCACTCCAAAAATTATTTGTTCGAGCAAATCTTTGGCTGGAATCATATTCAACAATTTATAATTTTTTAGGAAAGTCACGCTAAAAAGTTATTGAAGTTCAAGGCAAAAAATATTCTTCAAAAAAGTCAAACCCGGTGCTAAAACACTTTGGAAGGCTTCTAAAGATTTCTACTTGTAAGCTTGCCGTTACATAAGGTTGGCTAGAAAATAAGTTCGGTTGTTTTGATGGTTTATGGTAATACAAATCAATTTATGTAATGTTTGGTACCACTGGAAAGAGCAAATAAAGGGAATCGAATGATCAACTCTATTCAAGCGAATAATCATTTTGGCAACGGTTTTGTGCAGGAAAGTGGGATAAGATTCTCTCATCGAATTTTCGAAGATTCATGCCCGAAAAACGAGCTGAAGTTGGGTGTTAAACGCATGACTGGCATCCACAGAGCAAATTTGAAATTTCCAAGAATTTTCACGACCTGGATAGTCAACTCCAAGCGATCTTGATTGCTCAAAAACCGACTTCCACGCGCAAACGCTTGGTAATTCTTACATTTTTGGCTGCCAAAATTCACAAACAGCAGACCACAAATTCTATTATGGTTCACCATGTAGCGAAGACTTCTATGTATTCAATGACCAAATTACTCGTCCGTGTACTCGCTACAGTCTGAGAATGAAACTTGAAAGTTCAAAAAATGTTGTTTGTTGTTTAAAATTTTGTTTTAGAAGTCTCACCATATTAGGGCATAACTGTCACTTATCGGTGACAAAAAATTTTGACTACTTGATATATGAGAGTAGAGGCTTAAAGCTACCTTATCGGAAAATATCTCAGCTAAACAGCTGCTACTCGAATTTTTATGGAATTTTTGAATCGCATGTCAAACTGAGCTTATTTATTAGCCGACCTATTAATTCACTTGAGGCCAGCTTAATGTGATGATTCAGTTGGCTCCATGTGTGGCAAACTTGGGGTGCTTTAATTACACCGCGGCCGAGTGATGGACATAATGGTTGCTAGTTTGCTAGTCAACATCGTCGATGTGCGATAGATTGATGTAGTTTCTTTGTCTAACGAGTTTTACTTCACGTTCCTAAAAATCGATGTGAAGTACCAACGCCAAGTTCAGTCGTAAAATACTGCTTTTCCTATACTTCATGCAGTGAAAATAATAATCTAATAGGATCATTCTTCTCCGGACGTGAGCATGCTCTTGAAAACAAAATTCCTTTGATGAGGTATAAAGAGAATCACTATCTAGTAGCTGCTTGTTCTTATGTGCAAACTATTGTTGACACGTTATTAGTTTTCTAGAATACCCTTTGAAAGTATGACTTATGTGGATTAGTAATGTCTAAGGTGTTATCAGTGCAAACATTAGAGAATTTTTACCTCAAAAAAAGGGCGCAAAAAGAAAAGTGCTTAGGAAATGTTCCACAGTCTTCTGGAATCACTGCATTTGGAATTATTATTTCACTAAAATTTCGGTAATGCATACCATTGTTGCTAGCACTACCACAGAAATTCTGGTGATAATCCTATGAACATTTCGAAAAGGCAAAAGTTGCAAAGTCATTTTTACTGCAAGAGACGAGAAGGAGCACCAAGGCAGAAAAAAATTCGAACTATGCATCAACTAGACCTTCGCTGCTTGTTTGTACGATGTTATCTCCGTAACATGCGTTCGAGAGCGTTGTAGTGTGCGTGGACAAGAACACCTTCAAACTTTAGATACTTTCAAAGTCATAAAGTCAACCCAAATGTGAATGGGATGGTGAGATTTTGATGTTGTATGACAGTGGAGTCACTAAACTAAGTATTCACCCAAGCATCGCTGCAGAAGATATATTTCATATCGAGAAAATTGTTCCAGAAGGCAGCAACGGTCAAGGTGGCTCCGCCCACCACCGTGGGTGGTCCGAAAATGATATGCTTGAGATCGAGTTTTGATACACCAAGAACTGTCACAAAAGGTATTCTCCATAATTATCAAATTTTTCGGCATGCTGTCTACCCCAAGTTTACTTTTAAACTCATTACCTTCAGACCACCTATGTTAATGGGCAAAGCTATCTTGGCTTGCCGCTTTTGCCTTCTGGAGCGATTTCCTCGATATGGAATTTATCTTTTGCAGCAAGACTTGGGCGACTACTTAGTCAGATTCTCCGCTTTTATGAAGCATCAAAATCTCCTTATCATCTTGGGTGAACGGTATAGTTTTAACGACGGATATTTTTATCAAACGAAAGAATATCGAGTAATTGATTTTTGAAAACTTTTCGAAAAAACTATTATTCGAATTCGAATATATTCGATTATGGGCACATTTCAAAATTCGAATTTTTGAATATTTGAATAACCGAACCCGATCGAATACTCGACTATTCAAACGACTATAAGTAACATCGAATCAAATGCGGTACTCGAATAGTCGATTACTCGAACAACTGTTTTCCGAAACTTCGTGATTATTCGAATATTCGAATACTGTCTTTAGATTGAATTTTCGAATATTCGAATAGGTAATTGATTCGAGTCGTCGTATGCATTCTACTGTTCGAATAATCGAATAATTAGTCTTTTTCGAATATTTGACTACTCGAATATTCGTAGTTGAATATTTCGAATAAATTATTCCAATACTATTCGGTTCTAATTGTAGTGGACGGTGCTTCTAACAAGTAATTTAATGAAGCAAGCACTACTCACTCATCCCTTACTGAAGAGCCTTACCCTATGGCCCGCCATAGCTTTTCAAGAAAACCAAATTCGAAAACCAAATTCTAAAGTTTTTCACATCTAGTAACAGCAGTAAATACAAACTCAGATAAGAAATTCTCTCTATAAGCTTAACAAAAACATTGTGAAATTGTTCCTAACATCGCAAACTTTTTCACAATCACCAATATAATGCCGTATGGAAGCAAAATCTACAAACAAGAAAGGACTACTTTCTGAAACATCTGAACATTATGAAAAGATGCCACTTTGACATAACAAAAATTCATTTTTAGGTGAGCGAACAGATAAATATAAACACGCTATAATATGAAAGGATGCGTTATTTCAGTGGGAGCTTCATACTTACTTATAAGATGAGTATATCGGAGGAAATCCTGTCAAAAGAGGATTGATACTTGGAAAAAAAGCATCTCCTCTGAATGAACAATAAGGGTTTATTTTCTTTTTTATTGCCTCCTGAATTGCAATCATTCATAGCAGTTTTTTCTTCTCTTCTGAACCGAGGCGCATCGATTTCAAGGTATACAATAGATGTACTGGTAAAAAATACGTTTCGTATAGTGCGGTGCGTTGATTTACTGACTCACATGTGCTTCGATGGCGAGCTGCTTTACGCTTTGTATTCGATCTACCCAAACTCTTTTCTTAAAAATATAAGCATTTTCAAATGCTTGCAAATGTCAGCATGTTTCGAATACTTAATCTTTATGTTAACAATGCACCGTCCTAAAATAAATCTAGATTGAGCTTGAAGTGTTCAAAAAGCAACTTCGCACTTTCCGAAATTGGGATTTTCTTAAGCCTTTGACTTTGCATTGAGCTATTGCGACAAGAAAGCAAGCGCGATCGATATATCGATTTTGTTACGTTGCAATGCAATGCAAACTCTTGCTGTGATTAGTAAGGGTCTTTTAGATTATCGAAGCATTATCCAAACTACTGCATGCATAAGTGACTTCCCATTAGCAGTCACATGCGTATGTCCTCAGGACGAATATGCGCATTTACGCTTGGTAGCATAAATAGAAACACCCATTCAAGGTGAACTTTGATACTGGCGTCCGTGTGACATTAGTGTTTACAGGAAAATTCTATAGTATGGCAGAAACGAAAACACGGTTTTTGTCTGATTTCTCGTTCAAATCAAAAAAAAGAGGTTTTACGACGTTGTTAGCGTAGAGAGCTTGTACAGTTTGTTGAAAAGAAGCTCAGAACAGCGAAGAAAAAGGGTACCAGAGCCAAATGCCCCGTGCCCCGCCTTTGAGGTAGCGAGATGGCGCGCAATGCGTGGAGACGCAGACGAGCAAGGGGGAGGAGGAAGGACCAGAGTCGACGGAGCATTTGGCTCTGGTCGTGGATCTCCGTGGGGTCTTAACGAAACCCTGTAACATTATATATTATTGATCGTCATGATAAGTACTGACAACGTCGCAAGCCTTGAAAGCACTCGTGCGCGACACTGCGCAAGAGTTAAGCGCAGTTACTCGTCTTTATTGAACTTCAGTAGCTCTAGTAAGAAAGCTTTTGAGACCTAATCGTAGTCTGAAAGAGGTCATTTGAAAAATGTTGTTCTGGATTTTATGAAATTTACGCAAAAACCTCGTTTTTAACACAAAGGCTATAAAAAGGCTATAAAAACGCCTTTTTCGGTTTGCTGAGGTACTTGAAATATTACTGAATACGCTTACTTTATTCACACCCATTCCGATATATTAGGTTGGCACATAAGTTTTGCAACTTTTCCCGTAACTTTTTTCCTATTTTATGTAGCAATCTCATTTTGTGGCATCATGTAGATCGTGATGTAAGCTGCAAGCCTGCGCAAATCGTTTGATTTTTGATAAAGTAGTACAAAAAATCTAAGCATTTTTTGATAACTGCTGAAAATCGAGGTTTCACGATTTTTTGGCAAACATGAAGCCCTACGAAACCTGATTCAAACTTATGAAAAAGCAATTATATGCAGCATGTAGCTGGAAGTTGGTACATTGGACTTAGTGAGAAAGAAATGAAATTTAAACAAAAATTAAGGTGGGGCGCCTTTGAGAAGTTGAACAAGTCAAATGCGTCAAGTTTTGAAGGCAATTTGTCGATAACTAAGCTGCGAAAAGTCAGAATTCGCTATAACTTTGCACTATAGGGTAATCCTATGCGGTAAACACAAATATCATATTCATTTGTCGCTAAAATGAAATTCATCTTTTGATCTCACGAACGAGGTCTTTTCATGCGAAACGGATCTCATTTTTGTGATCAGCATGTCAAATAAGCCTTATAGGCCAAGTTTCAGCAAAATCTGATGCATTCTAAAATTTTTCCCATAGTACCGTAAACCTACCGTAAATCTCACATAAGATGGTAAAATTCGGCAAAAATGTGTGCATTAGAAGCTTACATCATATTCCTTATATTGCCGAAAAATGAATGCGCTACGTTCAAATAGACAAAAGTTATATAAAAAGTTGCATTACTTATGTGCCAACCTAATAATTTCTAACATTGGGGGCTTCGGCCTGAATTACTTCAGTGTTTTTGATGAAGGCTCTTTTGCCTCATGTCGCTCAAAGTGAAGGTCACCAGAGTACATGACTACATGTATCGAAGGTATGACTCCTTCACATTGCATGGAATCCAAAGTCAAAATAAGCATTTCGCTCACTAACTTAAGACATACTGCGTTACTTTGGTATCTCACTTACAGTATACATGATATTTTTGTGCGGACTTCTCTTCGGAACGATGTAATGCAGCGCACAGCACACAGAAGGGTAAGGCTGCGTTCATACTGATCCCGAAGTTCGGGAACAGTTCCATCACAGCGCTCGAACTGAACGTTGTGCTGGGATTGTTCTAGGACTTCGGGATCAGTATGAACGCAGCCTAACACAGATTATCGGCAATAAATGACTGGCCGCAGACTTCCTCTTGAATTATAGTAGAGAGAATGGTATTAAAAATGCAAGACCCACTCAAGGTTTAATTATCATAATTCTACTATAACATGCAATAACATCATAATTCAGTGTCAGCATAGCTTAAGTGGTCGACTTATATCACACACTTCAACTGCAAGCCCTCCTTTAAAGTAGGTGTCCGAAAGAAGTCCTACATTTGTAATTCTACAAAATAGCAGCTTCTATCGTAAGCTTAACTAGCAATTGTACGTAGACCTAAGATGACTGTACACTTAGCAATATTCATAATGATTCTGCTCGGTGTTTTAGAAATCTGCTGCCACGCTGTCAATCGTTTGTATGCTCATATTATCTATCCTTACATGACTTGAGAATTAGTATAGATATACAGTTACCGCGCTAATGCGTCTAAAAGTGGGAACAGAATATTAATATGCACGTTGGGCTCGCTTTCATCGTTCTGTTGCATCTGTATGAAAAGAGGCTGGTGTATGCCTTCTTGGCCTTTGCAATGTGATACCGCCAATAAAGGTCTGAAGCTATCATTGCTCGTCACCTACGAACCTACCACCGGAGCCTTCTAAATGCACCACCTAATATTCCTAATAAGCGTGTATAGCATTCAACTTTCTAACTAGATTTGGTGTTCTTATTCCCTTTCCTTATTTATCAATGCTTAGCTTCCTGCTGCTTTGTAATAAGTGCATTTCTTGTGCATTTGATAAAACAATGAATGTGTGGTAGTTGTGTTCCAATGGCGTACCCAGGATTTCGGCTCGGGGGGAGGGCGCGACAAAAAAATTTTCCGATGAAGGTGCGTGGCGTGTTTCGGAGTGCGTCAGCCACGCACTCCGAAAGTTTTTTTGGTATGCTCCCTAAAATTTTTATAAGCTAGGAACCCCGAAATTTCAGAAAAAGGAGGGGTGGCTGACGCCACGCCCTCGAAAAAGATTTTTTATGAGGCTAATGGATTTTTTAGAAATTTTGAAAAATATTTTGACTATTTACAAGTGCAGACAAGTCATTTGCACAATTTTGTAACCCAAGTAAGTAATTTTCAAAAACTTCGCGACCAGTTCTCGGGAGGGGGGCCTCGGTACGCCACTGTTGTGTTGGAAGCTTTGAACCGTCAAAGAGCTCGTGGGAAACAGCTTTCGCTGAGCATTGATGATGCCGAGGATACGATCGCGATATACTATTGTGTCATGCAAGCGTTCAAAAACACTTCGACTGAAACAATGCAGATTGCGTGACACCATAAATATGATAAAGAAATGAGCCGAATGAGACTGATTTCTACGATTCTGCTCCCTTCAAGGTAATGAATTCTTGATGTATTGATCTTTGAAACTTGAGTGTCAGAAGAAAATATGGGTTCCATGTTTTAGGTCATTTGGCGAAACTGTAGTCGCACTTACAAACACTTTATGTGCAAGTGTTTTTGGCTCCATGGGCTTACTCTCGTTTAAATCCAAAATGGATGCACACAAAATGAAATTGGCATCTCGCCTTTTTGCTAGCGCTCATTACATGCGCCTTTACAGTATACATTGACATTGTTAGTAAGTGTTTTTTGACGCATGTTTGAAGGCACCGTTGTCGCTTTCCACGCGACATATTGAGCCGCGACATGGGCATTTGCTTGTTAGGGCTCCATCAACCATCGTAAGCCCAAACTCCAAGGCCCAAAAGCTCAGGACGATGGACGGGTGGAGAACTGGGGTGGACGGAGGTCCGTTGCGAAGACTTTTTGCAAAGAGGTGTACCCGTACTTTGAGAAAATGCATCCTGCTAGAACTATCTACAAGGTGTATACTGTATGACAGCTGCTTCGTGCATTGGTGAGAGCATCACCTTCTTTAAGAAGATAAAGAAAACTTGCAAGAAAGTCACCAAAAAGCTAGTCTTGTGTATGCGGCGCTCGAAAAACTTGATAAGTAAGCCAAAAAAATACGAAGAAGCTAAACTGTCTTGCTCTCGCTGTCGTCGATCCTCTCTAGCAACGCAGTAAGAGTATGGAAAAACTTACAAGAAATGAAGCCGCAAATGTGTAAGCAATACTATACCTTAATTTATGTTGAAGTGTAAATCATGACGTGAGATGATATAACGTGCGATTTCAGCATAAACTTTTGAAAAGTGTTAGATTTTAGAAGAAACAAAAGCACAGAATTGCTGTTTTTTAGAGAAGATCATTGTGAGGGTTTCGATGCGTTGGGACAAGAGGCCGGGAAGTGAAGGAGGAGGGATGGATGGAAGGGAGCCAAAAGTGACGGCGAATATAATAATTCTGCAGGCAACCCCTTTTTCGTTTTCAAAGGCAGCATCCTTCCATTGAGGGTAATAAGATTTCCATGCTGTTTATAACGGGTCCCGACTATAGCCCCGACTTCAAATCGTCCCCGAGTACCGCTGCAAAAGATGATGTTCAAAGCGAATTTCGCTGCAGAAGATAGAGCTTCCAATGTTAAGGTGGCTTCGTCTATCAAAGTGGGTGATCTAACAAGCGAGATTCTAAGTCGTAACCCAGGTAAAGTTTGGAGCCAAAGGATGCCCTTCTAAATCCTAAGGACTTCAAACTTGATCTTTGTTTTTATAGTGGAGACATAGTAGTACCCAAAAATGTATTTGGTGGATATCTGCAGGGCTCAAAATTGAGAAAAAAATGATCTGAATGCCAAAATGCTACTTTTTTCGGGTTCTTTATGTAAGTCCAAGCATTTCTTGGTTATAAGAGCACGTGCAAGGGTAAGCTTTCATAATTTTACTTAAATAAGGCTTGAGGAGCACAATGACGTATGCGAGAGGGGCTCGGGGCGGAGTTGGACTATCTTTACTTCTTCGTCTATGAGCGGAGAAAATCCAGTAAAGGCATATTGTATAATGATCAAGTTGGAAGCCTGTAGCTTTTTTCTTGCAAAAAAATTCTCAGATGACGAAATTTTTCTTGATTTAAGCTTCAAACTTTGTATGAAGAGCGACGTGAGCGGATCTTTAGAGGTCATTTTGTAGAGGTTTATCCGCTCTATCGAACAATATCTAAATCTACTAGGAAAACAAAAACAACTTGAATTATCCAAAAAAGCGTACATTTGGGACAACCCAATGTAAGGAAGTGAATATTATGATCTCACCGACCAATTTCGTAGAAGTTCGAATAGATAGGATACGCGTCACGTAAATTCTCGTGTATGTATAGTCCAATGGCGTACCCAGGATTTCCGCTCGGGTGGTGCGCGACAAAAATTTTTTGGGATGCTTTCCAAAATTTTTGCGGCCTCCTGACCCCAAAATTTTAGAAAAAGGGGGCGTGGCGGCACCCATGCCCCCAAAAAAAATTTTTCGTAGGGCTAAATTGAATTTTTTAAAATTTTCAAAAATTATTTTAATTATTTACAAGTAAAAACAAGTCGCTTGCACTTTTTTATAACACATTTAAGTAAATATCGTACACCATGAAAAGTGCTACTATGGTCAAAGCCCTATGAATGCATTTCGGTCAAAAGCGAAGGCACCATAAAACGCGAACATTTTGGCACAACTTCATTAGATCACTTCTGTTCCTCTCGTATATAGACGATCATTTTTTCAAAAACACCAAATAAACTTTTTCACAAACTGATTTCCTAAGTTGAAAAGGCCTACGAATCTCGAGCTTGTAGCCGTGGACGATCTGAGAAATTCTTTTAGAAATGGAGGTCTCGACAGAATGTTTTCAAATGTAAATGCATGAATTATGAATACACTTTTAGTAAGCTTTCATATATATGATCGAGATACTTAAAGTGCCAGGATATCAAAAAAACGCTCTTCTTATATTATAAATCTTTCGTTAAATCACATGCAGGGTCGATTCTCATTTGCTGTGCTGACTGAACGAAGAATTTGTAATAGAAAGAAAGGGTTTTTTCCAAACTTTTCATCATTTGACTCCTTGATTCTCTCCCAACCAAACTGCAAAAATTAACTAAGCTATACTATCATGTATTCTTCCTTTCTCCTTGATTCTAAGATGTTGTCTAGATGAAATTTTGGTAAAAAATTTTTGCACCTAATATCTAGTGGACCATCAAATCCTACTTTCTGCCTCCTCTTATGTTGAGATCGTAGTCGAGCTGCAATGATGTTTCAGAAGCTAAAAACGCTAAAGCTCACTCAATTTTTGAATCGTAACGGAACTCCAAGTGAGAAAGGTGCAATTTTGCTACACTTTGTTTCTTGCAGCTATTGTGATTATTGATTGTGAAAGGGCGGCACTCAGTATCATTAGTGAATGGCATGCATTCGTGTTGACTCGCTCTGCCAGTGGTAGAAAGAGCTGCTGAGTCTAATTGTGGTACGGTCGAGTTGATTTTCTGGTCAATATAATGTGCTTGGATTGAAGACGAAATGCGGTAAAATATGCGCGTGAACAAGTAGCCAGGCCAGTAATGCCAACATTTTGCGCGCGCAAATGGCCGGCGTCACAGGCGTAGCTATTTCTTTACGCGCAAACTTTACCGCATTTCACCTTCAGTGCAAGCACACTATATTAAGCGGAAAATGTACTCAACTGTACCTTTCCGTTATCAGGCCCGTTTTTTCAAAAAAGGATATCGCTTCTTTCCTTGCACCAAATTTAGTCAAAACTTCACTGATGAGACCTCATGCCATGTGTCAAAAAAGAATTAACATGCCTCTACATGTTTAGCAGATTTTAACAGGAGTTTGTTTGGCTTACCTATCAATGCAAGTTCGATCTGTTTTTTATTTCATAATTACCTCATTTTTAGCCGACAGTTTTATGAATGAGCTTTGATATTATGGAAATGACATCCTGTGTTTAATAAACATATTAGTTTTTTCAAAACAGAAAAGTGAGCTGTTGTTCTATCATCTAAACGAATCAATTGGCACCAGGTACTTCAAGCTCGTTTACACTCTTTCCCGGCTAAATTTGTATGGCGGAAACAACATGAAGAGCAAAATTTTTTTAGATTATTGCTGGCTTACAAGATGTTCTAAAAAACGTTCAAAATGTTTTGTTTCTATAAAAGATCCCTGAACAGCTTTCGACTCATTTCAGAAGCTCTCGTAACTCAATAAAATGATTTTCAAAAAACATGTCAAACTGGCCACAAACGTGTGAATTTTTATTTTGACACCTGGCAAGAAGACATCACAAGATCTATGAAAAAAATCTCTAGACTGAAATACTAGACCACACAAGGCTGCTTCGTGAGAGCATTTTGAAAAATGATTCCGGATAACGGAAAAGTACCCTAATTTTTTCTAGGATTTTGATAGGTAGATGTAATTCGACTATATTCGAGGCGTTGTTGCGGAACATCCTTTATACCCTAGAAACTTTTCCATTAAAGCTACCCTAAAGTTCATTGCTTAACGATTGCGCCGCGAATAGAGAGAGTGTTGTTCCTAATCAGGAAGAAGCCATTTGTACTCATCTGGGATTGTTTTCTGTGTGGTCCACGATACCGGTTTATACCACATAACTTAGATTATCAGCATGTCCGAAATGCGTTAATGAAAGATAAATATATTTAGCAGAAGTGATGAGCTACATTGGTTTGTTTCCTCTGTCTTTGGCTGATCTTATGAATTTGAAAACTTTTCGGGAATCAACCTTTTTTGTAACTTCTTTCAGCAACATACGAATGAGTTCTAGGTATTCTGGTTCATTGTGGAGAGATAAGTTCGAAATGCTCTTGATGAAATTATTCATAGTCCTGCTTGCGGCTTATCTGTGCAGTGCTTCTGCATCATTTATAAATACGGTGAGCACATTTGAACTCCGTCCATACGAATTTTCCAAAATATAATTATTTTTCAGTGTACAAGACTGTGTAAAAGCGAAGTTGAGAAATATAACAAAGAGCACCCACAGTCGCCAAGGAATCCCAATTGCGCACAGTGGTGCAAAGATATTGTGGAGGGCAAGCAGTACAAATATGTCGACAAGTTAATTTTGCAGATTTTGCAATGAAAATATACACACTAGTGATGAGTTGTGATCGAGCATCTTTAGGCTAATAATGATGCTATTTTACCTTAGAGGATCAATTTACTTGTGCCATAAGCTGCTTCGATCATCTATTTGCATTCGCAAAATTTGTTCCTTCACGAAATAAGAAAATGTATTTGCAAATACTTCGATCGTATGGTTCTTAATTGTTGGTTGAAATAATGGATCGCTCTACAAGCACATATTTTGAACAATCACGGATGGTGCATTTCAAAGGACAGGATGACATGAGAGACTGTACCGCCATTCTTTTTATATCCGCGCTGCGCACGGAGAGCAACGCTGTTGCGTCCATTGAAGATAATTCATGACTGGAAGAAGCGCAGAGAAAGCAGGCGGCGAGATGCACGGGAAAAGAGGAGTGACGCGCAGTACATACCTTGCCCGTATCTGCGCCCTGCGCGGACGGCCTTTACAATATTTGAGAAATTTCAAGACAAAAGATATTTACGCCTTCTTCTATTTGAATTTCAAATATGATGCTGCAGTCATCCATGTGTTTCTATACATTGTGACAGTTGGCTACTGTGATGGTTCAATACCTTTTCGTTTCGTCTAGAATGACAAATTCTGTAGCTATGCGGAACTTGCGCGCACCAAAGTATGGCCAGATAACTGTATATCAGTGGCGTACCGAGGGGGGGGGGGGGCGGGGGGGGGGGGGGCGCCCCCCCCCCCCCCGAGACACTGCTGTATATCAATTAAGTTGCTCTGTACCGAATGAAGTCAAAGACTTTCTAGACCCTTGCAAGCTGAGGTTGTGGAGCACAATTTGCACATCATCTAGTTGCGCTTGCATTGTTCCTTCAAGGAACAAGGAAACGTATTTGCAAAATATATTCGTACAGTCGACTAGATTTTCTGCATGTAAGGTCCCAGCAGACGCGACAACGCTTGTGCGTCAACAGTGCCAATGTAATTTCGGTGAGTGTTTTAAAGCATTTTCTCTGCTTCTTTTTTGCTTTCTAGGGCCAGCCATTGCTGCTTATTCTCAGCATCTACGTCGTGGAAGTTACGTCGCGTCGTTTCACTCGTATTTTTGTCACTTTGTGCCTCTTTCTTCTTGTGAAGCATTTTTTGAACGCTAATAGGCTACTACAATTGCCTTTTCATCTATATCGCACGAACTGTTCGATCGAATGCTATCTCCTTGGGTGAAAGTCGAAGTTGCTGCAAAGCGTACTGGCGTTCAAAGAAATAATTCAAAAGAGGACAGATGAAGCGACAAAAAATACGCATAGAACTGACACGATGTGGCTTCCAGGTGGATACCTGAGAATAAGCGATGGCATAGGTACTAGGAAAACGAAAAACTACTCTCTAACAACCCCTTTCCTCCTTTATCAGCGTCTAGTTACTTGAAAAGCAAAGAGCATAGAAAACTCGAGCAAACTGCTTGGAAACTACAATGACAATTGGTGGCGTACAGACGTTGTCCCATCTTCAGGGGCACTACATAAGGGGAAGGGTCCAAGCAAATCTGGACCCATGGGGTTTTCGTTTGGAAACTGATGAGGAGTCCTAACTAACGCCCTGCCCAAGCGGCAGCACAAATGTATTATTTAGGCTAACAAATGAGGTCGAAGTGGCTTTTTCACATGAAACTGATACAATGTTAAAGGCAGCGCCCCCTCAAAATGGTGAGTACCGGAATTTGACAGTGTTGCGATGATATATCCTCCAGCCAATTAGTGAAGTCTGAAAAGCGCTTCTGAAAGCCCAAAATCCGCCCCAGAAAGTCTTACGGACGCCGCCCATTTCCAAGCTCCGCCCACTTCTTACACGTAAATTGGAGCGAACGCGGACACGGAAAGCTTTGGGAAAAATTTATTTTCGCTATCTTCAAGTGATTATATGTCAGCATGGCGAGAAGGTTTTGGAGAGGTGAAAAACCGGAGAGCAAATTTTGCCGGGACGCTACCTTTAAGGGCATCGAACGATGATTTCAATCATTGATTTCAATCACGATCATTTCTGTTTTCGTTATCTGCCGAGCGCCTCTGGCCGTCGAGATATGAGCAGAGAGATCTATATATAGAGACCTGTATACAGGGTGTCACAAAAGTAAGTACACACTTTTCAATCTTCAATATCTCTCATCCCAAGGGTCTTTTTTTGTCAGTCAAGTACTGTTCTGTAGAGGAGTGAATCACCGATCGCTCCTGTTACTGTAGGACTACGGAAGAACTTTCAGCAAGTGGGACCATTGTGAAACACGCCATCTGACAAAAATTGTTTTCAAAAAATCTGAAAAATCGTGTACTAGGGTTTTCGCGCACGCTGATTCCACTGCATAACTTTTTATAAGTGTTTTCAGCTTTTTTGACGGTGTAATCACATTTCTGACAAATATTTCTGACAAGTACTGGAAATCGGATTATTACTGTTTACCTGGGATAACTTTGAAAAGAAGCATCACAATAAAGTAGAAATTTCATAGTCGAAATCAGCGGCTCTCATTACCGTAGTATAAGAGTTTTTGGCTTGTTTAGTTTTGTTCCGAGGTAGGATATGGCTTCCAATGGCCTAAAATCCTTTTCGAAATTTCTACAGTAATCCCACAGTAAGGAATCGATGATTCTCTCGATACTGTAAATCTAAGTTGAAGCCTCCTCCGCAGAATGATACTTGACTGGCAAAAAAGACCCATTGGGAAGAGAGATATTAACAATTAACAAGTGTGTACCTACTTATGGGACACCCTGTATACTAGGTTGTTGCAAAAGTTTTGTCAGTTTTTTCAGTCCATCGGCAAACACGCTAAAATGAAAATAAACAAACATTTCAGTGTATCCGATGCAGAATTTCTTCCTCTTTCCAGATGTTAAACTCCCATTGTGTTTGGTTGCGAGAGTGACATGATATTTGCTGGAAATTGCAACCACTCATTTTTACCATGTCCAAATTTCCCTAATTTTCAATATTTTTGTATGAGATATTCGGAGGAGCCCTAATAACCAGCAGATAGGGCAAACCTTTACACTACTCGGATACACTGAACTTTTTGTTTGCTTTCATTATAACGTGTTTGCCGATGGACTGAAAAAACTGACAAAACTTTTGCAGCGATCTAATAGATAGATTTTCAAGTTGAAAAAGAATGCATAATTAGAACAAAATCCGTCAAAATTGCTAAAGTGATCCAGTGTTGATTACCAGGACACCCCATTTGAACAATACCGTCCAAAACACTCTCCTACTTAACACTGCTCTCCTACTTAACACTCAAGACGGTGAAATTTGATCACCTAAATTATGAGTTCATTCCTCGAACCAAGAAAATATTCATAAGTAATGCAGAGACGCTCGGCAGATAATGAAATTAGTTTTGTAATCACCGTTTGATGCTCTTCAAAGTAGTATAAGAATCATTTGGAAAGGCTACTTCAACTAATCGGACTTCCCTTGTAAGTATCTAAGTAAGATTGTGAGGTGAGCAGTATTGTACTGTTGGTAGTCTTTTAAAATCCGAAAATTTTTTCGTAATGCAAATCCATCCGCCAAAGTATACGCATTTTATCTACAAAAAATACAGAATCTACCAAGTACATTGTTTCGACACCTTTCCTCATGACGCAGCGTTGAAATTTTGCCAAAATGTAAAAATAATGCTAAGTAGTGCCCTAGCTTTCGTAGGTTGCAAGAAACATGTCAGCGCTGCATTCAACACTTCATGAACGTTCACAACTAGGTTGAGTGAAAATAAAGATCACTTTACGCTTCATGTTCCGCACGAAAAGTTAATAGCGCCTTTCCTGACTCTTCAGTGTAAATATCACAATCAAAGCTAGATTATTTCGTTCATGGGTTAGTGCTCGAAGAATGCGGTTGAGGTTATCTGTAAGTGAACAAAGAACAGACTGGTTTCTAGAAAACCCACAAGTGTATCACAACACCAGCGAAAGCGATAACGCTGTTCACGGGAAGGGTTAGTTTCAAAAATTCGCACAAATCAACGTTCTGCAAAGGGATGAGTTCATGATGCTATAACATCAAACATAATCACTGATTTGCTAGCACAGATCAGTTATGCATGCAGATGCTTTCTTCTTCGCTTTCATGGGATAAAAAGAGCCAGCTACGATTGCCCCCATGCTATTACAAGCAGTCCAAAAAATATTTGTTCGAGCAAATCTTTGGCTGGAATTATATTTAACAATTTATAATTTCGGGAACGATACTTGGTTACCCCGGCCATTCATAATGATTTGCATATCAAAAAATGCGCTTTCGTTGCTGGTTCCATTGCTGTATTTCATATCTGCGAAACGGCAATCTGGATGGAGTTATGGTTATTTTTTTAAAAATGAATTGCGCTACGGCGAAGGGTGAAAAATCATTAATAAAAATTTTTCTTTCCTCTTCAAATGCTGAATATCGTTTAGATAGCTATAAATACAACGTTACACCTTTCAAGATTCTTATCAATAGCTTCAAACGGTAAAATAGATCAAATTAAGTGATTTTAATTACCTAAAAGTACTCAAATTTCTACTCAAATTTCCTACGAAAAAAGTTCATAACTGTCTTCAAATGATCGTTTCGCAGATTTCGAGCGCAGATTTAGAATCAACGTTTCGAGATGCACCTTTTGGTATACATCGCATTCCACATGGCCGGGGTCACCAAGTATCGTTTCCTTGTTAGAAAAGTCACGCTCAAAAGTTGTTGAAATTCAAGGCAAAAATTTTTCTTCAAAAAAGTTATATCCGATGCTGAAACACTTTTAAAAGCTTCTAAAGATTTCTACTTGTAAGCTTGCGTTACATAAGGTAGGCTAAAAAATAAGTTCGGTTGTTTTGATGATTTGTAGTAATACAATTTGATTTATGTAATGTTTGGTACCACTGGAAAGAGCAAATCAAGGGAATCGAATGGTCAACTCTATTCAAGCGAATAATCATTTTGGCAACGGTTTTGTGCAGGAAAGTGGGGTAAGATTTTCTTATAGAATTTTCGAAAATTCATGTCCCGA